GACCTGGAAGATTGCCATGATTGAGTGCCACAATTTTGGTTTTAAGATTTATTCAGTATAATAATACTGTCGCATACGACTTAGGTACCACTTCCGTGTCACTGAAAATGTTCTAGAACCGTACTGTGTCTGGGTGGAATATTCTAGATTTTGTTTAGAAACTGGTTGAATAGGTAATAGAACACTGTAGGAGGCAATAGAAGGTAATGGAACATTCTGGAAATTGGTAGTAAGTTCCAGACTAATTATGTATGCTGATGTAATGGTCTATTTATAGACAGTGGGGGTATATATAGGGTAGTTGTTCAGCACTGAGATCAGATCGGAGATCTCGTTGAATTGTATTGGAGTTTAAGTATCTAGTTATTGGAGTAGTGGAGTTTTACCGCGTTATTGTACTTGATGTTTGCAGAGTATAATAATACCAGTACCAGTTGAAACCTCATCTGTTGGCTCCGTGTTCGCATGTTATCATCGCCGCCAGGGAAGTCTTTATGTTACTGTTGCCATTTTGGTATTTGAACCATCACACCTGTACTATACCAATTACGATAATATTACGTTGCGTGTGACAAATACAAATGTTCACCCCAACAGAGGTGGACATTCAGTTTTAGCGACCCGAAGAGCTCATTGTCAACCGAGGCGAAGCACTACGATAAAGACTTTCCGTTCCCAATAAATAATAATAAAAAAAAGACTTCCCGTTCCCGACATTATGAAATTCTTTCGTCTTTTTGGGAGAAAAACCCAGAATAAAACTGATTTTGACAAGATAATTTAAAAATTTATATTAAGAATAATTCATAACGAAATGTATTCCATATGTACCCATAAATTATTCATAATTACTGATTACACATGAATATTACAGAAAAAAATGATTTGCGACTGCGACTTGAATTGTGACTGAAAGGAGCTGGATGAAATTACAAACTATGTAGTGTGTTTGACAACTCATGTATCAACAATAACTTTAATAAATATGATTTTACTTAGTAAAAATACTGTATTTTTCTACATAAAAACAAAAGAATTTCACAATGTTAATATGTTGTTGTTTTTGCCTTTTTAAATACCAATTTATTTTCGATTGACATTCAAGGAGATAGTTTGAATTTTGAATTTAATGACAGTTCAAATTTATCCACTTTTACAGTGATGAATATTGCATTCGAGTTACTAGTAATTACAAGCCTGATTTACATTTTCTTGCGATGTTTTTCCTCAATGTATTAAAATATAAGTGCTTTGGGAAATAGCATAATTATATTGCGTGAGTGAAAGAGTCTGATGAGGCTGTGTCACAACACGTTTTATTTATTTTCAACGAGTGTGGTCAGTGCCTCTGATTGGGTTTATTTTGTATTTTTATTTTCGGAATGTATCACTGGCTGCGTTTGTTTTGTTTTATGTTTTTCACAACAATTAACTGTTCCGAAATCTCTTGCATTTTTCGTCCGGCTGCTGCCAATCCAATAATTCGTCGCCACATGTATTCAGACAAGCGATTAAACCAGTTGTTTAAGTCCGATTGATTTGCAAAAAAACAGCTATGCAATGATTATATGTGCAGTTTTGTTTTGCGCACCCAGACACAAGCAAAAGTTAACCCGATAGATTTTCTAAGCATTCGTATTAAGGGTCATAGTGTGAGTTGCGTTCGCAAATAACAAAGTATCAAATTATTTTGAAATAAATTTAGTCAAAATCACACACAGAAACACACACACAACACACAAATACTAGTACTCAATACATATCACGATTGATTGACCAGTTATATAGCTGCTTGAACTACGCACACAAGGACGTAAATATGTAAATACAGGTCACAGTTCGACTTGCGAAGCAAACGTTACAATGTGTCAAGTGATTTGAAGGCATCTTTTACCCCTTTTCCAATACAGAGAAGCAATCCGCGCTGTATTTTGAATCGTCATTAAAACCTAAATTTATTATGAATAAAAACATAAGTTTATACATACAATGTACGATCATCGTTACTCCAGTGGTCGGTTAGCAAGTGGATGATGTTTCTGAAGCCTCCCATAGCATGATTGAGCAAGAGAGTGAACAAAAGCGAGCGTGCAAGTGGAAAAAAAGCGGACGGTTTCTGGTCGGAAAGCAGCGAGCGATCGGAAATTAAGCAATAAGCAGTCAGAAAAAAAGCGATAAAAGCGGGAGAATGGGCGGAATAAGTACTGTATGTACCAAGTTTGAACAAAATCCATCCAGAAATGCTATTTGATAACTTTTTAGCACAAAAATGTCCACCATTCGGTCATTTTTAATAGGATCGTCAAACCAATATATCTGTATATCTATGACATGATGTATAATGAATATTTAAAATTTGAACATAATCAGTCACAGCAAGTCAGAGATATGGCACTAGAACCACATTTATTAAAACAAAATGACCGCCAGTATATACCAATTTTGAACAAAATCCCTCTGTAAACAGCCGACAAATGCTTGATTTTGATGATTTTTAGAACAAAAATGGCCGCCATTCGGCCATCTTGAATCAGATCGAAAAACAAATTAATGTGCATATGTATAATATCATGTATGATGTATGTGTGTAGTTTGATTGTGATTGGTCCAGGCATTTTTAAGATACAGGTCTGGACGCGCACACGGAAACACAGACGCACGTAGGTCAAAACATAAGTCCTCGTTTTCAGACTGCGTCCGAACAGGGACTTATAATCACAGTGATCACTACTATTTGGGTCAAAATTTATTTACAATCATTCTAAATATAGTGGTCATGGCTATTGGTTCTATGGTTCAACCCAGTACTGACCTTCACCGCTATTGCAATGCCACAAGCAGAGAAAAGGAAAGCTGAATGCCTTGTCTCTAGTGGTCTTGATTCAAAGTGATCCATGGATTAGGCAAACAACCGAGAGCAACGGTTCGTCAGTTTTATTCAAGATATAAATTTCCTGTTTTACGCATTGGAGCTACAGCCTTATGATGTGATCTTATTTGCATACGACTCCTAGTGTTTCCTCCTCGAGCAAACAGTAATGTTTCACATTTGTTTTTGCATGGTTTCCATCTTTCTCAAATAAATCAAAGCATTTGATTTCTATTTTATTCAATGTTTATTCTTGTTTGACATTTTTTAACAAAATATGCAAATATGCATGTTTTTATTTTTACCAAATGCGGACAAGGAAGACAAAATGGTGGTTGTTTTGTGCCGAGATGATTGCAGTATTTGGTTTGTATCAAAAGCATGTCTCACAAGCGGGGTATTTTTTTCACGAATGACAGTTTGATAGCAGCTAAACAAATTTCAATCGATTATGATGACCATGATATAATAATAAAAATTAAGCTGAAACTTCATTACAGTTGTCTTTATTACATGTATATGTGAATTTATACCCTAGTCCCTGGTTAGCATAACAATAGATATGGTAATTGAAACTTAAATTTACATACTCTTTATTATGCTAATTCTATTGTTATGTAAATTATTCAAACTGTTAAAAATAATGCTGGGAAGAACGATGTATAGATTACTAATTCATACATTATGGTCGGTTGGGTTTAAATTGAATAGAATTGTGGGAAGATGGGTAAAAATTGGATGGAATTATGGTCGAATGAGATGAAATTGGATAGTTATGGTCGGATGGGTTGAAATTGGATAGAATTTTGGTTGGATGGGTTGAAATTGAATATAGTTAAGGTAGGACAGGTAGAAATTGAATAGAATCATGGTTGGATGGGTTGAAATTGGATAGAGTTATGGTAGGATGTGTGGAAATTGAATAGAATTTTAGTTGGATGGGTAGAAATTGAATAGAGTTATGGTTGAATTGGTTGTAATTGGATAGAGTTATGGTTGGATGTGTAGAAATTGAATAGAATCATGGTTGGATGGGTTGAAACTGGATAGAGTTATGGATGGATGTGTAGAAATTGAATAGAATCATGGTTGGATGCGTTGAAATTGGATAGAATTTTGGTTGAATTGGTTGAAATTGGATAGAGTTATGGTAGGATGTGTGGAAATTGAATAGAATTTTAGTTGGATGGGTAGAAATTGAATAGAGTTATGGTTGAATTGGTTGTAATTGGATAAAGTTATGGTAGGATGTGTGGAAATTGGATAGAGTTATGGTTGGATGTGTGGAAATTGGATAGAGTTATGGTTAAATGGGTTGAAATGGTTGAAATTTGATGAAGTTATGAACATATGAAATTGAATGTGTACAGGTCTTTACAATATGTGGTGATGCCCACACAATTTGCTGAAATACTACATCCAAGAAATTCCATACAAAGCAAAGTAAAATAAAGTATTTCAATGATGAAATTAAGCCAAGTACATTTGAGAGTTTGGCAAATGCAATTTAATTTAATCCTGTTATGTTGAGGAAATACAAGACATCACATTTGAGAAAACTGAATGCAATTTAGGTAAAAACAAGAAAATTATTACCTTCATATTGTGCTACAAATCCTTTATTAGCGTATCTTTCAGAGCTTTTGAACTGAATCCAAAGACGACTGTCTGCTGATCTGATGGTTGCAGGGATATCTTTGCCACAATAACGACCTTTAAAATATGAAAATGTATTACTGAATGTGAATGTAGAAAGACCTGTGTAAATGTATTACTGGTTGTGAATGTAGAAAGACCTGTGTAAATGTATTACTGGATGTGAGTGTAGAAAGACCTGTGTAGATGTATTACTGGATGTGAGTGTAGAAAGACCTGTGTAAATGTATTACTGGATGCGAGTGTAGAAAGACCTGTGTAAATGTATTACTGAATGTGAGTGTAGAAAGACCTGTGTAAATGTATTACTGAATGTGAATGTAGAAAGACCTGTGTAAATATATTACTGGACATGAGTGTAGAAAGACCTGTGTAAATATATTACTGGACATGAGTGTAGAAAGACCTGTGTAAATATATTACTGGATGTGAGTGTAGAAAGACCTGTGTAAATGTATTACTGGATGCGAGTGTAGAAAGACCTGTGTAAATATATTACTGGATGTGAGTGTAGAAAGATCTGTGTAAATATATTACTGGATGTGAGTGTAGAAAGACCTGTGTAAATATATTGTGAGAGAGCTGGTTGACCAGTGTCAACATAGACTAGATATTATGTCACTACGAGTGGTCAAATGCCAATCACCTATGAGTGGTGATTTGTTCCAGTGTCCATTCCTGATCTCAACATAATCATACCAGCAATCACTACTCTGTAGGATATCAAAAATCGTAAAGTTCAGGACAATAATTTCTCCAGGTGTCACCGAGATTCTCCATTCACAAGTGATTCCTTTTGGTGCATCTTCTGGGAATCCAGGAGATGAAAAGTTACCCGATGTCTCTAGCAGTGTCCTCCCACAAGCTGCATATTGGAGACACAAACATGGTTATTATTTAAAAAGAACAATAATGATATCGGGGATGAGTGAATGTATCAAATGAAATCTTCAGAAATTGTTTAACATAATAAGGGAAAAATAGAATAAACTTCTGTGCAAAGAGTATTTGAGGTACATGAAGTTTTTTAATCGAATTAGCCTTTTAAACAAAAAGCCTATTGACAAATAAAGTTCTGAAATGTAATCCATAGTATACTAACAATTTACTATCAAAGTAAACAAAATAAAATGTAATTGTATACATTTCTGTTTTGCTTTGTGTGATTTATTCCAGAGCACCTATTTCACCAAGTTTAAATTAAATCTGACGAGTGATTATGGAAACAGCTGTGGTGATTAATATGCTATACATCAATATTTTGTAATCTCAAAAAGAGCCACTTAGTTTCACATGCATAACTACAATTATAAGACACCTTCAATATAGCACTGGCTAAATATCTACAGCATATCAACAAGCTTTGAATGAACTTGAACAATATTGCTCAAATTGGCAACTTAAAATAAACATATCTAAAACTGAAATTGTTATTTTCAATAAATCACCACTGCAAAAAAGATACTTTTTTACTATTGGCAACCATTGCATTAAATGTAATAAACAGTATATTTATTTAGGGATTATTTTCAGTTCAAATGGTAATTTCAATGAGGCAATAGCCAATATAGCAGAAAAAGCTGGAAAAGCACTTTTTGCTATGAACATCCTTTTGTATGGGGGCAAAGTTTCATCATCAACAACAAATGGGAAAAAAACATGATAGAAAAAAATTATTTGAAGTTTTGTAAGCACATCTTGCAGATTAACAGAACCTCATGTAATCTAGCAGCAAGAGCAGAATCAGGGCAATATCCTCTTTTAATTGACATCAAAAAACAAATAATAAAATATTGGCTGCATATCGTAGAATTACCAGATGATAACCTAACTAAACAAGCATTCTATGAACGGAAAAAGTCATCTATATCAAATAGTTGGTTCATTAATCTTAAAACCATATTACAGGAAGCATCATTAGATTTTCTTCTGAAAAGAAAAATCCTCAAAACACAAACAGCAACAATTTGTAAAATTTTACAATCAAATTTACAAAGCAGGTATGTGAACAAGTGGAGAACTGCTATATCAAATGAA